TTATAATTTAAAAAAAAAGTAAAATTACAAAAATATTAAGATTTCCGTCCCAAAACAACGTCGTATTGAACTTAACACAGATAATTTATATGTAGTCAATGTAGAAAAAGAGAACCTATATTTTATCCTTCTCTTATATTTTTTTTTCTCTCTCTTCTACATGTGTGTAAATTTTTTTTTTATCTTATACTATATAAGAAAATAATTCCCCTTAAATTATTTGGTCTGTCTTAGTCTTATATAAGTCAGATTATGAGTTTGGATTAGCCTATATTTAAATAAAGAAAACCCTTAACCTAGACGTATTAATTTATTTAAATTTATAAGATATTTAATAATTAAAATAATACTAATTTATTATTTAAAATTATTAAAATAATAATTTATTTATTTTATTTAAAATAAATAATCTTATAGGTCTAATATAAAAAAAAAATTATAACCTGCCTTTTAAATAGATTTTTTGATACCCGAAAAAATAATATGGCTCTCCCGTCCTGTTATCCTTAGCTTGTAGAGCACTGACACACAATTTTTTTTTTAGAATGCGCGTCAGACACCGATATGCTTCTACATGTTTCGACATGTGATTAACGTTCCGACATATTTCGACATGCGGATAACATTTCAACACACTTTTTTGACACGCGGTCAACACTCCGACATACATCTGACATTTTTTATTTTATTTTACTTTATGAACTAAACATAAAAAATAATTTATAAATTAATTTTTTTCTATTATGAAATTAAACATGCAAAATTAAAAAGGTACAAAAAATTATTTTAGTTTTATAATGTTATGGATAGGGGTGTTCTTCAACCCTTCCAAATCGATTCAAACCGCGATGACCGAACCGAAAAATCGATAACCGAATAAGCTGAAAACCGAAAAACCTAAAATCGAAAAAAAATCGCAAATTTTAATTGGATTGGATTGATTAATGAAAACTTATCCAATGAAAACTGATCCAATCCAAACCGATCCAATATATTAATTTTTCTGTACCTACTTGGGTTTTTTCTCAATCATAGCCCAAAAATTTCTAAACCGAAGATCTAGTAACCCATCAACTAAACCCAAGAAAAAACCTAGTTACATCTCATCAATAAAATTTTATCTGTGTAGAGCTTCATATCTTATTGCTAAAAAAAAACTATATTATCAATTATTGTTGCTTTTGTATTTCAATTTTTTTTACATAGTCAATATATACAAAAGATGTTATTTGCATAATAATCATGAAACAAATTTTAGGATTTTCAAAAAATTGAAAACTGATCCAATCCAAATCGAAAAAAATTAGATTGGATCAGATCAGATTTTAAAAAAATTCAAACCGAAGGGATTAGATCAGATGATTTTTTCTTCCAAAATTGATCCAATCCAAACCGCGAACACCCCTAGTTTTGAAATTTGAATATTTGATTAATTATAAAACTTATTATGGGTTGTTATATGTTTTAAATGTAAACTATGTTATATATATTAAAAATATTATTTAATATCAAAACGTATCATAACATATCAAAATATGACATTGTTTAAAATTAATGTATCGATATATTGTATCATATCATTTATCGTGTCCTGTATTACTGTCGATATAATATAGTCTTAGCCCAAGTAGCCACATGGCACCAACAATTTGTCACATGCTCACAACCCGCTATGGGTGTAGCCCACTAAGTATCTTGGCCCAATATAGTTGTGCAGAATAGCTCAATTAATAGTTTAATACCACAACTTTTTATGAATATACCGGGTTATTTTTCTTTTGTTGTTGGATAAAAGTTGTGTTTCTTGCATAAACAACTTTAGGTGGGCCCCATGGTGGTTTTAGAAAAAAAAAAAAAAAAAAGAGAGGCAGACACACTTATTGATGGCTGCGTAGGAAAATATGTCTCTCTCCAGTAATATGAGAGTTATGTTTTCCTATATTTATTAAGGGCTTTGTATTTGGAGAAGAAAATTTTTCCAGGAATACATATTTAAGGTTGGCCTCACCCTAAAAAAAGAAGAAGCTTGGCGAGTATTACAATAGGAGAAGTGTTTTCCGCATTTATTAAGTAAAACAAATAGCACAAACTCTAAGATGTAACTCAGTTGGTAAGCATGTTGTAACTCAAGGGTCGGGCGTGTGTCATGAATTCAATTCCTACTAAAAGTACTTTAAAGCTATAAAAGAGATTAATTCCATTCTACCGGAGTGATATTACCCTGAATTTACTAAAAAAAAAACTAGTCAAGTTTTATATAAATTGGTATTATGTACGATGTACTTAAGTTATTACAGTATACAAAAAAAAAAGAAAAAAAAGAGAGAAGAATTAAAAAAGGGTAAGAGAATTAGTTAGTTGTTATTATGCGAAACAAAAATCAATAAGCAGCAGTTTTTATTTTAAAAAATGGATAACATCACACAATAGTGTGTGTTAAGGAATAAACTCTCTTTTTTTCCTTCTTGAAGAAAATAACATAATATAAGGCATAAAAACTATCGAGTTTATTTTTTATTTTTTAAAGTTGATAAAAAGATATAAAAGTTAGTTTATATTAAGATTTGGAATAAATCAATATTGTATCCCTAGCCGCCATTTATTTCATTTAAAATTCTTCTTTGGGCTTAGTAATAATTTGTTTACCCAACTGTAATCCCGAGTTTGCCAACTAGCCCTTGGGGCTTGCTATAATTCCGAGTGGCAACGGTCAACAGACAATAGTTTCAAACTTTCACTCTCACGCGTTTTAGACCAAATTCTGGCATTTGAGTTATTGTGAGTTGGATTGTAAGGAATAAGGAAAGTACTGTCCTTATGGAGACGCCTTCGCTGTAAAACCACTTCGTTATATTCAAGATATTTTGCATCAATGTTGCTTTAATTTGCTCTATTCGAAGGGGCGCCAAAAATAATAAAAAATTATCCCAAAAAGTACTTATTAATCTTAAACATATATAATAAAAAATTCCTTGATTGAAATCTACCCCTATTATCACAACTTCACTACATTATGTCTTAATAAACTCATGCTTAATGTTGGATCTCGACCTCCTTAGCTACAACTGCCTTTCTGTTTGGTGGGTCATTATTCTTTGCATGGGACATGAATGATCCCACATGAAATACCATAAACAATTGTCTATACTTTCATATATGATATACATAATCACCATACCTAATGTCGCTGAAACATGTCACAAAATAAAATTAGTAATGACGACCCTAATAATTATGGCCACGTTGAATTCTAGAGTATCTGTTACATGAATAAGCATAAAATGGTACAATTACTAGTAAACTATTAGCATAATTACAAAGGGAACTGATCTGCAAAAAAATGCCACAAATTTGGTTGGATAATGGATACTACCTTAAGCAAGGCAATGACTTGTTAATATCAAACAAAGCAACAATAATTTACAAAATATATTATAATAACGGATTGATTGACACTTTGAACTCACATGCTTGATGGCCAAAATAAGAACACTCACATGTTGTGTCTCAAAATGCAATACTTAAATTGTCATTTAGTTATCATTTTCATGTGCACAAAATTGAGAATAAGCTAAATTAAATTGATGCCGTGGGGACATAATGCTATGTAGGCCCAAGAATATGTACATGCATAGGTGCAAAAGTCCCTGGTTGTGTATAGTCAAAACTGGCAAAGGAAAGGGGAGATCCTCCCCTGCCCTTCTTCCAACGTATCTTGAACAAAAAATACCAAAAGTAAAAGCTTTCTTCTTTGCTCCCATTATGAGAAAGCATAGCTCGTGGAGGGCACTTTGTCCATGTTGAGATTATCTAGATGCAATGTTAAAGGAACAAGTGACAATGGCATCCCATGCCTTGGCCCATTTCACTATAGGACAGGTCATGTGTTGTTATAAATCGGCTCGACCCCATGGTTCGGACACATGATCAGCTTCAAAAGTTGGCTAAAAAAAGTGTCCAAGATTGTCTTGTCTTCTTATTATATAAAGAATGCGACCTTGCATATAATATTCCGAACACGTTATATTAGCATGAAAACACAATAGAAATGGTTGCTTGCATAAACAGTCAAGACTATGAATTTTCATTTTTTTTTTTTTTTTTTTTATAACATATGAATTTTCATTTTACTAGATATATATGTTACTAAAGACAAACAAAGTTGGCAACGAACAAAGAAATCTGAGAAATCATCATACAATAAAATCATCTTTAATATTTAATTCTATTATTTTGGCCTTAACCAACTTAATTCAAAGCATTCCCTAATTCTAACCCAAAACTGTGAGAGAGAGGGGAAAACAGCTCAGGGGCAAAACGATCTCGATCACAACTCACTAGGCTATCCAATCCATTTTTGCACAAAATGAAAAGTAACCAAGATTTATTCCCATCTAAGTTCCTAGGAGAAGAATAAGGTATACAATACCAAACTTGAACATCAAAACAAGGAAACACTTTGTTCTTTGGGCACGTAGTAGAGCAGAGAATGCTCAGAAAAGACACACTTTCCAATGGTTTCAAGTAACCACGCTCTGTACATGTTTCCCTATTCTCAGTGAGTTGGAGTTGGAAATGAGCATCTCTGATACCTTCCCATCCAATAAAGTCCTTCCCAAAGAATATCCTCATAGTAGCAAAAGTTTTCTTCCTTAGTTACATCAATAAAAAACAGTGCAAGGAATTGCTTATAACTGAAGATATTGATGACTCTATATTTTTTCCTCCCTTTATTCCTTAACACATGGAAAACCATTCATAACACTGACATAACAAGCTTTGCATCAATGATACATAATTTCAAATATGTAGAAATCCACATCAAAGAGGCCAAAAATTGCCACATCTCTATATGAATTCCAGCTAACATACACTATATGTAGGAATATGGTATACAAATTTTAATTTGGTCACAGTCAGTTAAATCTTCAAGTTTTACCACTGAAGACAAACGAATTGAATTTTTGAGAAAATAGAATTTGAGTTGGCTTGAATTTCTCTTAGCAGAAGCTCCACAAACGAATGTCACTTTCTTCGTACAGATCATCAAGTAGATGGGATGAATCAATATCAAAGAAAGCACCATTTAACATCTGATCAACATATTTAGGGGATTGTACACCATCAAAACTGTACCAAGGTTCCATCATAGCCATTGATTCATTTGCTTGATCACAGCTTGTGTAGGCCTCAAAAGATGACATCAGTGAGACATCATCATCGATTTGATCAGAGGGAGAGGAGACCATTGAAGGGGAAGAGATCGAGGATGATGAGGTTGATGCAGGAGGAGGAGAAGGAGGAGTGCTGGCATTTTCAATGAAACTATTTGCAGCAGCTGCAGCAACTCTTTGGATTGATTTAGGGGACATGACAGTATCTTTAGGAATGTATTGTGAAGAACTTAAAGGGAAATTGAGATTTGCTGAGGAGCCTTTAAGGCATAGAAGTGCAGCATCATAGGCTCTGGCTGCTGCTTCTGGGGTTGAATAAGAGCCTAGCCATATTCTTGTTTTCTGGTTTGGTGCTCTAATCTCTGACACCCATGAACCCCAGCTTCTCATTCTGACTCCTTTGTACTTCTTCTTGCTATCTGATCCTGATGATCCTGATGATGAGGATAAAGATCGCATTGGCTTTGATGGTTCTGTTTTGATCTTGTGCTCTGACTTAACCATGATAGTAGTGAGCTGCAAGTGCAAAGATTGTTCTTCAGTGAACCAAGAATGTTTGAAGAATAACTCTCTAGAGGTAGAAAGGGTGTTCTAGAGGTCTTTTGCTCTTTTTATTGTGTAGTTTTTTTTCTTTTTTACCCTTCTTGCTGTTCTGAAAGTGGGGAAAAGAATCAGATTGGAGGTGAATGTGGGGAAGTAGAGAGCTACTATTTATAGATAGAGCCATAGAGGCTTGCGTCTCAAGGTAGCAAATCTTTTGTAGTCAAGATAGGACATTGTTGCCAGATGGATTTTGTTTTATTTGAATTTAATATAGACAGCTTAGTTCTCAAAATGACTTCCCTATCCTTTCTTAGTGAAGCTTCCTTCATATAGGTAAAATGAAGTTATACCTCATGTCACGCTATAATTAAGCATGGTCCATTAATGATCAAATATAATATCATAAGAAACTAACTTGCAAATTAATGCTAAATTACCACTATATTGCAATTTGGCAATATATCATCCACTTTTTTTGCAAAAAAGGATCCACTCTTCTACTTCAATAATCTAACTGAACTAATTAACATTTAGCACATTTTGATCACCTGCTCTTCATGAACTTGCTTCCTAGTGCATTAAAATTTTGAAATGTTCTTCCCGGGGAGTTTTGATTTAGTCTTGCCCAAAATGCTAGTTTAAAAACTTGTCAAGATAGCCATTATAGGATGCTCTAGGTCAAGGGGAAGTTATTCAATGACAGTAGAAAATAAAATACATATGATAAGACTTTTTAGTTGCCAACTTCGCAGCATAGTTAAATACTCAGAGGAACAAAATTTTCAAACAACTATACTGCAATTTAAAGGTGGTAATCCATGGAAACATTAAATGTGAATCCTATGGACCAATCAGATACAGGTAAAAAAGCACATTAAAATTTTCTTGTCTCTTTTAGTTCTGACTTTAGTACATAAGTCATCATATTTGCCTAATGACACCAAATAAATCTCAGCATATATATTTTTTTTCCAATGATGTTGACAGATTAACATTGATATATCTTTTCTTAAGTCGTAATTCTTTCAGGAAAGCGACATTTTTATATTGATTTTTACAATAATGTATGTGTAGAGAGAGAGAAACATAGGATTCTCTCTAGATTAATAGGCAGCTTCCAGGATCCGCAGGTGCTGATGAGTGATGCTTAATAAGCATTTGGACCAAAGCTGTTATGCACAGAAGTAAAATATATATACAGACACAATACTCCACACGCGCAGTTCAAGAGTGAAACCACTTGCATATGTAAGCACACAGCTGTTGGTTCTCTGTACTCAGCTCCAAAACCGCGTTATGGACCCTCCTTTCCTCATGCAACTGTGACTTATGTCTCTGTTTCCCTTTTCTCTCTCTGAACTACGTAACAATATTTAATAAATCAAAGCATCACATCTCAACGGTACAATAACAATGCTTAGTTGCTAACGCCTCCGTAACTTGACTTTTCCACTCCTTTGTGCCTCGTACTTGTATTTTTTTTTTTTTTGAGTAATGGTATCTGTATATACTTTTGTATACATTATTTTTATAATTTTTATCATATGATTGTAATGTAATTAATCTTATTAAAATTTATACACATCTCTACTCTAATTCCCTCAGCGATTGGAGAAATGTGAAACCAAAAAGTTTTATCCCGTTGCTTTTAGTTTCAAGCATCTCCATTTGTAAGGCACAAAGCCAAACTGTGTTTTTCTACTTTGGGAAAAATGCCAGCCCAGCTCACATGCTGGACGATATGTGTGGAAAAGAGAGCATTTTTTAAGGGATAATTGACCCTTTCTAAGTTGGGTCAAGGTTGATTTTCACAAGTTCAAAGGTTTTCCTCTGCTCTGTTTATTTAATATTTTATAAAATTTAGTCTATCTCTATGCAAGAACTGAGTTATAATATTAAAATTTCATTAACATTTTTATATGTCAATTTTATGCAGTTGGCAAACTTAAGTGCGATTTCTGTCAACATTACAGCAAAAGTTTTGTAATTATCCGCAGGCAATGAACTTCCAATGTGCAAGGATTGCAAAGTAAGAATCCCAAATCAAAACAATAAAATAAAAAATCCATGATTTGTTTGTAATCTCGTTCAAATTCTAGCCTCCCTCAAAAGTCAAAACCCAAGTTAAATATCTGATAAGCAACCTTTTAACATGGTTTTAAGTATTAAAAGCGCACTTTTCATTCCGGTTAATTTTGTGTATGCAACTATAATCATTAGGTATAATGGATAGGTTATTCTACCTATTATTTTTTCTGTCTATATTTATCTACTACTCTTTTACACTAATAGATAATGATTTCATTATGGGAGAAAAATAATAAAGGTGAAAGTGATAAACAAAAGTATACAGAAAAAATAATAGATAAAATAACTTATTCTTACAATTAAATATAATCTTTAAAATAGGTGTTCATAGCTTTATTTTGAGTTGAGACTTGAGAATGAAAAAAGAGTGTGAAAAGGATTAATAATAACAAATTACAATTGCACTTTCCAATGACAATGCATGTGTGAAGAGAATAGTGTCGTCAATCCGTACAAGTCCTCTCACACTTTCCTGCTTCCTTCCGCTGTTGTAGAGTTTTGAGACTTGGGATAAACATACAGAATATAGATCAGATTTCAAGACATCATCGGCATGAACAAATGGCCATTTTTTAAATTAACAATGGAGAAATGAACTTGTCAATCGATTTATAATTGGGCGTGGCAGCTAAGTGGTACGGTCATTGACATGCCATTGCCTTCATATTAATGATTCCCACATGTTCTTGCTACCCTCAACTTGGTTTAGGATTTTGTAATCAGATATTCTGAGAGGAAGCAAGGGTTTTGGTTGTTGGAACGTTGAAGGAAACTTCATTCGCAAATGGGTTTTTATCCATTTGCTGGATTAGCCGGACCTTCTAGAATTTGGTTTACAGCTTATTGTTACCTACCGTGTATGTATGAACATGATCATCATACAACTTCTTAGATTTACCAATTGTTAGTTGGGATTATGAGAGTTTAAACGTGGGGTAATATATTAGCAAAACTCTAAATTAATGTAAATCCTCCCCTCCCACATGAGATGAGGTTTCATGAGAAGGTTTTTGTGATTTTTTTTTTAAAATATTTCTATGGATTCATTGTTTCGCAACTAATTTGATTCGGGACGGGTCTAGGATTAAGACTTTAAACTCTTCTCAAAAATTATACCGAGAAGATTCGAACACACGCTCTCATGTGATGAGAGGTTATGTCAAGATAAAATGATAGAAAAATAATAGGGATATGAATGGAGAAAAACAAAATCATATCTTTTGTACACATATTAAAAATTTTGTTTTTTTTGTTTTTCAAATAAAATAGTGGAACTCATACTTATTGTTTGTGGTGCATTAGAGAGCAAGTCTCTTATAATAGAAGACTTGTATTTCCCACAATAATAAACATTAGTTTGTATTTAAACGGTTGAGATACTTCACATGATCTGACGAATATGTGAGAATTCATTTCCTATTTTTTTTATTTTGTGAAAAAAATTAAAACCATTTTCATATAAATTAATTTTCTTGAAAAGTTTTAAGAATTACTATGAAAATGTCAATTCAACTCAAAAAATTAAACAATTAAGTGAGAATCATATTATATTTCTTCAACAATTATTTACCTGCAAAGGCAATACTTTTCCCAGGTTTCACCGCGTTTCAAAATCACAGGGTAAAATTACAATGTTGAACGGCAAAAAGAAAATGAATAGTTCACTCCAATTGATATTTGGCAGTGGAAAAAAAAAATTATCAGAAAATTATAATTACTGAAAATATGATGAGAAAATAAGTTTGGTGGAAAATTAAAAAAAAATTATTTGATACGACAAAATATTATCGAAAAAATTGATTTAAATTTCTTAGTTTATGTTTGATTGAAAGTAAAATTTTGCTAGAAAAATGGGTATAAATTAAGAAAATAACTCTTTTATTGTTAATACTAGTAATTGTAATGACAAAATACCAATTCCCAGGCAAATCTGGAAATACCACCTTCAATGTGATATTTTGTTCTGAAAGAGTTTTTTTTACTCACAAATATCATATACTGGCAAATAATTTTTCTAGCTAAATTTTTAAAATCTTATACCAAATATAAATGAGGTTTGCATTTGTCATTTAACATGACACAATAAACTTTTTTACACACACAATATTTTGTGGGCCCACACTTTTTGAAAAAAAAAAATTACGGCACGCAAAACGAATATCTATAACATTACATAATCACTTTTCCTACAACATAAGTCTTATAAAACCCAACATAAATATATTAAAATACCGCATTCATTTGTCTAGATATCTTGAAATTAAACTCCTACCAAACATATATGGAAAAAATGTTTATCCTTTTAAATGACACAACTTATATCATTTTACTCTCACAAAGAGGTGGGACCCATACCTTTATTTTTTTTGTCAACTCTCTCTCCTCTTTTATCTATCTCTTCCTCTCTCTTAAAATGACACAACTTCACATCCTTTAAAATGACACACATTTTACCCAACATATATACCCCATATCACACCCAAAACATATATATGATTATCTACTTTATCTTCTTCTTTTTATCGATTAAAGACATATTTGCCTATACCACTATTTACTTGAACTTCCAATTTAAATTATCAAATAACAGAAGTGTAGCTGGCATGCTGCTGAACTACTTGACCATAAATGTAGATGCATGCATGCTTGAGCCATTTTTTTATAAACATAATGTACCACATCTGTACTCTATTCTGTCCTTACTGGCCCGTACCAACTACAGGACTATCCGTACCCCTTAGACAAAGATGAAAGACACCCATGAAAGCGACAACTAAATCATGCCGCCAGAGGGAATTGTAGGGCCAATTAGATTGGATAGCACTTAGCAAAAATATTACAGGACGCCAAGTGAACTCACCCACCCCAGGTGT